AGCATCTGAGCTGAAGGCATCGATACGTCACAGAACCGTTCAGGCTAAACTCCCACATGCAGCTGAGCCATCAGAAGGTGTTATTATGAGTGCATGTTTGACTGCACTTACACCAGGCAAGGTTACCATAGCAACAGCACTTGGTAGGTGGTTGGCAGAATGGAACGTAGCTGGTGATGAGGTCAGCTGTTCTGAATGTAGGTGTGAGTTTGTATTGGTGTTACAGTGTCCAAATGGTTATCTAATAGTCTGTGCAGAGGACATGCAGTGAACATGGGCTTCCTTGTTGCCATGGAAACTACACCTCAGCTCCTATGATGGTCTGTGTAGCCTCCAGTCACGTCCAAGGCTACCTTCCTAAGGCATTACTGTAAACCTGAGCAGGATCTGATCTGGTTACAGAAGAAGAAAAAAGTCATCACCCAACGAAGACCTCAGGGTGACAAGGGTCTCATCACCCGAAGCCCAAACCTTTGTGACTCCCCTGACTGTGTGACCCAGATAAGTATCCTGCAGATTAATCAAAGGACAAAACCTCAGAGGTACTATGGTACCTCCATCCCCCCTGAGTATAGGAGCTGTAGATCTGTGCATAAGCACAAGCATCAACAAAATTCCAGACATGGAAACAAGGCAGTTAACAAATCCTGGGGCGATGGTTGCTCAGGGGTCAAGAGTTCACCCTGTAACCTGTGGGTTGCGAGTTTGATCCCAGGCTTTGGCTATGTCAGTCGTTGTTTCCTTGGGCATCACGTTTCACCCTCCTTGCCTGCTGGGGGTGGTCGTAGGGGCCAGTAGTTTCCGTCAATGTGCCCCAGGGCAGCTGTGCCTTCAATGTAGCTCATCACCACCAGCGTATGAATGGATGAATGGGTGAGTGACTGATGTGCTGTAAGGTGCATTGGAATCTTCTTTCTCAGTAATGGTAAATTATGGGGGAGCTAGGGGAGCCTGGCTGTTTGATGTAAAAAGTAGCTATAGCGTTATACTTACGACGTTATAGCGTTATACTTACGACGTTATAGCGTTATACTTACGACGTTATAGCGTTATACTTACGACGTTATAGCGTTATACTTACGACGTTATAGCGTTATACTTACGGTGTTATGGCGTTATACTTACGACGTTATAGCGTTATACTTACGACGTTATAGCGTTATACTTACGACGTTATAGCGTTATACTTACGGTGTTATGGCGTTATACTTACGACGTTATAGCGTTATACTTACGACGTTATAGCGTTATACTTACGGTGTTATGGCGTTATACTTACGGCGTTATAGCGTTATACTTATGACGTTATAGCGTTATACTTACGACGTTATAGCGTTATACTTACGGTGTTATGGCGTTATACTTACGACGTTATAGCGTTATACTTACGACGTTATAGCGTTATACTTACGGTGTTATGGCGTTATACTTACGGCGTTATAGCGTTATACTTATGACGTTATAGCGTTATACTTACGGTGTTATGGCGTTATACTTACGACGTTATAGCGTTAACTTAAAGGGACTTTACGGAGTTTTAAATTTTTATGCTCGCGACTGCCCCCTCAGGCCAAAAGCGTAAGGGCAGCTTCAATAGTAGGCTCGTGCACGAGGAGCGCATGATGTACGTGCACACACCTTAACGAAAATAACAGCTGAGACAGTCCCGTGTGTGTGTGTGTGTGTGTGTGTGTGTGTGTGTGTGTGTGTGTGTGTGTGTGTGTGTGTGTGTGTGTGTGTGTGTGTGTGTGTGTGTGTGTGTGTGTGTGTGCGTGTGTGTGTGTGGCCCTGAGGACAGAGGACAGGAGAACGCGTAGCTAATTAATTAAATAATTTGGTTCTGTACCTTTCTCTTCGGCACAGCCGACAAAGGTTTATGATGGGTCAGTCCTCCTGCATGCTCAGATCATTCCCTTCCCTTGCTTGAAAAATTGTTCCAAAATGAAAGTTGAACCCACATCTTTTTTATCTGTGAATTCAATGCCGTTCGGCGAGTCTCAAATAAAAATTTGGGCATCTTACTGTAAAAATATACCATTAATGTCAAAAAGAAACTCTAAATAAACTATGTTCACACCCGGAATCGGACCCAGGTCTTCTGCACGAGAGTCCGATATCTTACTAGATGAGCTAAAGCGCCAGTGACTTTCTTGTATCTGTAACATTTATATGCTTGGTGACAGCTGAAACAACGTTCAAAGAACGGTTCGGAGTGAAAATGGCTATTTTGCTGCTAATTAGCAGGAAATATCTAGAAGAAAGTTCTACAGAAAGTAGCTAAGGGTCCTCAGAAATGTAGCTAGCTTTGTCACTAGGCGCTAGGAACAGCGACAAAGTGGCACTGCCTCTCTCTCTGCTGCTAAAGCTACGGATAGCAAATGCTACGGGCTATGCCTGAGCGTGAACGCGCATGAAGCAGCCTGCTCGACCCGAGCATCTCTCTTTTTCTGTGATTTTACAGAAAAACAGGCAATCACAGTAAAAATGCCAGGGCTCATTCTACAGGACCAGGGCATTGCAGGAGAATGTATGAAGAAGACATTTATTATTTCTATACATGTTTTGGCTGTCAAACTTCCATAATGCCCCTTTAAGGCGTTATAGCATTATACTAATGGCGTTATAACATCATACTTATGGTGTTATAATGCTATACTTATGGCATTAAAGCATTATACTTACGTCGTTATAGAGTTAGATTTATGACCTTAGTGTTATACTTACAACGTTATAGTGTTATACTTACGGCGTTATAGCGTCAAACTGACGGTGTTATAGCGTTAAACTTACGGCATTATAGCATTATACTTACGGCGTTATAGCGTTAAACTTACGGCATTAGAGCGTTAAACTTATGGGGTTAAAGAGTTATACTTATGGCGTTATAGCGTTAAACTTATGGGGTTAAAGAGTTATACTTATGGCGTTATAGTGTTAAACTTACGGCGTTATAGCATTATACTTACGGTGTTATAGCGTTATACTTATGGGGTTAAAGAGTTATACTTATGGCATTATAGCGTTAAACTTACTCCATTATAGTGTTAAACTTACGGTGTTATAGCGTTATACTTATGGGGTTAAAGAGTTATACTTATGGCATTATAGCGTTAAACTTACTCCGTTATAGTGTTAAACTTACGGTGTTATAGCGTTATACTTATGGGGTTAAAGAGTTATACTTATGGCATTATAGCGTTAAACTTACGCCGTTATAGTGTTAAACTTACGTTGTTATAGCCTTATACTTATGGGGTTAAAGAGTTATACTTATGGCGTTATAGTGTTAAACTTACGGCGTTATAGCATTATACTTACGGTGTTATAGCGTTATACTTATGGGGTTAAAGAGTTATACTTATGGCATTATAGCGTTAAACTTACGGCATTATAGCGTTATACTTACAGCGTTATAGCGTTATACTTATGGGGTTAAAGAGTTATACTTATGGCATTATAGGGTTAAACTTACTCCGTTATAGTGTTAAACTTACGGCATTATAGCGTTATACTTACAGCGTTATAGCGTTATACTTATGGGGTTAAAGAGTTATACTTATGGCATTATAGCGTTAAACTTACGGCATTATAGCGTTATACTTACAGCGTTATAGCGTTATACTTATGGGGTTAAAGAGTTATACTTATGGCATTATAGGGTTAAACTTACTCCGTTATAGTGTTATACTTATGGCGTTGTAGCATCATACTTACGGTGTTATAGCGTTAAACTTACGGCGTTATAGCGTTATACTTATGGGGTTATAGCGTTATACTTACGACGTTATAATGTTAAACTTACTGCGTTATAGCGTTATGCTTACGGCGTTATAGCGTTATACTTATGGTGTTATAATGTTAAACTTACTGCGTTATAGTGGGACTTATGCTACATTTGTTTGTGTTGGGAGTTTAGAAATGGGGCTTAATTTATTTTTCTTCCATTCTACTTTTCCATCAATTCTTTCAAATTTACAAGTGCTGGTTGTTTGGTAGCATCTGCCTACTACGTTACAACCAATCAGCATGAATTAACCAAAAGGTTCTGTTCAGCAACTCTACCGGGCCAGTCTGAGTACATGCCCCAGTTCCAGTACCTGGTTGGTCCCTGAAACGGTCCAGAAAATGGTTGTTTCTGTCCGGCCCACCAAAGTGGAGACGATAGTGGAGTCAGCTTTAATGACATAACTAGAGACTAATTGATGGAACATTTAAGACCAAGTGATGGTTGGTGTTAGGTTATTATCAGCTACTGGTTTCTGTTGAAACTCAAGACTTTATCAGAAATGGGGAAAAAAGAGATTTCAAAGAAGTTCTGGTGCCTTCTGAGGTCATCCGGGGTCACACAGCCAATCACTCCTCCACTCTGAAGATAACCAGAACAGCCGTAGCCACAAACCATAAAACATGGAGGTGGATGATGGACGCACACAACCAGAACCATAGTTACTCCATTATCATTCCAAGGTCTTATTAAATAAAAAGGAAGCAGAAGACTGAAAGGTGTCTCACAGCTTCAAACCAAAACCAGAGCTGAATCTCTGGTTCCTGGAAGCTGCTAGTTTAAGTTGTTATGTGCATGAAAAGTCAACAGTTGGGAAGAAGGAAGTCCAACAAAAACAATAAAAGTCGGGATTTTTACAACAATTGAAATTAATTAGTGCGGGTCTGCTAACGCACTCTTAATCACACGATTTACACCAAGGCTCTGCCTCACGTTAACCAGGTGAAAACTAGGTGAGTTAACCAGAGTTAACCAGGTGAGTTATGACATAACATCCTCTGAGCTAGTGTCACATCTCAGCTGCTGGCGGAGGTGCTGTGACGTTTGACGCGGGAGAAGCTCCGCGGTGCCGCAGCCTCCGCATGACGCTCATCTGCAGTAAAGCGGCTCTACGGGAGACATCACCCGGACTGTGTTTCTGGGTTTAGATCTGAAGCGCCATGGTGACGTCATGCTGTAAATAAGGAGATAAATCAGCAGAATCGGTCCTCCTCACCTTCCCTCCGATCCTCCGACTCCTGCTGCGCTCGACGTTCCTCCCTTCATCCTCCTCATCAGCGGAGGCCTCAGCCTCCTCCTCTTCCTCCCCCTCCTCCAGCTCACTGACATCGGCCTCCTTTTCTGTCCGGAGCCGTTTGGCTGTTCGGTGAAATCCTCCTGCAACACCTTCCTCTTCTCCCTTCTCCTCCATGATCAGCCAGATGTGAAAGGACTAGGAACGAGACGACGACACCTGCCAAACGCCTCTCTCTCTCTCTCTCTCTCTCTCTCTCTCTCTCTCTCTCTCTCTCTCTCTCTCTCTCTCTCTCTCTCTCTCTCTCTCTCTCTCTCTCTCTCTCTCTCTCTCTCTCTCTCTCTCTCTCTCTCTCTCTCTCTCTCTCTCCCCTGTCGGATCGTCTCTGCAGACAAAGATACAAAAGCGAAGACGTCTCACTCCGCCGATAATCTGATAACCTGTCAGGAATAGAGAGGCGAGCAGATTATCAGAACCAAAACAGCGGCATCAGAAAATTTTATACCAAACTGGTAGTTCTGCTCCTAACAATGAAGAGCCCCCCCCCCCACCCACCCCCACCCCACCCACACACACACCCACACACCCACACACACACACACACAAATGGGGGTTAGGGTTAGGCCTAACCAATACTCTACTGGTTGAGCCACAGTCTGATGTAAATGAGCTCTGTTGATCAGATATTCAAAAATAAGTGTAAAATGGTGACAATGAATGAAAATGACTAACGAGGTGAAAAACAAAGTTGAGTTGAAAGTATTAGTTTTTTGTTTTACTGCCACCTGTGTACTTCACAGTTCTGCATTCCTGACATTAGAGCCTCTAGGCTGTACAGTAACCCCCCCCCCCCCCCCCCCCTCATGCCGCACACACACACACACACACACACACACACACATGCATGCAAACACACACACAAACACACAGATACGAAGAACACTCAGCAGTTTTAAGGGTGTTTTGTCCTTATGTGGACCAGACAGATGTCCCCACAATGTTGAAATGTCCACACACTACAGGTTAGGTTAAATTTTGCCCACTTAAGCGTATAAAGAGAAGTACACACACACACACACACACACACACACACACACACACACACACACACACACACACACACACACACACACACACACACACAAACACACACACACACACACAAACACACACACACACACACAAACACAATGTAACAAACAGTGGTTTTCTCTGTTAGGTGAAGCATCTTAGTAATAGCTGATCTTTGGTTTCACATCCTCTTGCCCTGGTTGATGCTTTTCTCGTGTGTGTGTGTGTGTGTGTGTGTGTGTGTGTGTGTGTGTGTGTGTGTGTGTGTGTGTGTAGAGAGTGTTGGCAGTTGTAAACCTTCAGGTGGAGGCATTTCCCTGTTTTCGGTCTTAGTGAAAAGGGAACAGAACTTGTGTTCTGGGCTGATTCAGCAGAAAGGACGTGCAGGTTAGGGTGACCAGGGATAGGGATGGAAATGTTCTGACAGGTGTCAGGTGTGTGACTGGTAGATGAAAAGAGTGCTTTATAGAGGTGATGAATGTGGAAAATGAGAGAAAATACGGATTAGAAGAGGTGACTGTTGTGGCTCAGGAAGTAGCTGAGATTATGAGGAAGTGAGGAAAGCTTAGAAGGGGATGACAAGTCCTGATGACATATGGGAGTGTCTAGAAGTGGCCAGAGAGTTTGTGACCAGTTTCAGCCAGCTCACAATGTAGTAAACATTCAGAGAGCCGAAACAAAATCAGAGACAACTTAAATGGAAATGAAGGTGGATCTCAGTATAAGCAGCCTACAGCGGATGAGAGGTCCAAAATGGATGGATGGGTTGCTGCAAAACTCTACACATAAATCACTACATTTTTAAGAACTGACAGCATTTGGTCATTTAGAAAGCACTAGCGGGTCAATAATGTAGACTCAAGTCAGCACTGCTTGAGCTCAATTATCAGTTAACCAACTGGAAACACGAGGCACAATTTAACACTGTAGTGTTTTGGATGTGGCTACACGATGAGAGGATGGTTTGGACCCAAAATGCATGACACGAGGCAGGAGTAGATGTATAAAGACAAATCCTTTTATTTTAGGAAGAACCCCAAAACTAACATAAAATCCAAAAGGGCAGAAAGGCAAAGTCAAAAATCAGGAAATCCAAAAACACAAGAGGAACGAGCAGACTGAGAATAAATCACGCTGACAACAACAACGGACCGACAAGAACAATGAGACAAGGAGGGCTTATATAGACAGGGAGGAGCAATTAGGGAAACAGGAAGCAGGTGTGTGGCGTGAGGCTGGAGGGAAGGCAGGTGACACCAATTATCTGGATGGGGAAGAGAACCAGTGGAGGGCAGATAAACCCAACACTATATAAAACACAAAACTAAACCTAAAGACTAAGGGAAGAACTCACACACACACAAACTCATACACACATACAATGAACTGGGGAACAAGAGGCTGGGACTATAACTTAAGACACACAACAGAGATGCAGACAAAGGACACATGAGGGCGCTAAGAGAACACAAAAGGGAATCCAGAGAGGGATGGAGAAACATTAGGAGACACATGGGGAAAGACGCAGACAAAGGACACATGAGGGCGCCATGAGAACACAAAAGGAGAACCTGGAGTGGGAACTGGAGGGGCTGGGGAACAAAGGGACACAGAAATGACACATATTTGTTAAATGATCAGTAAGATGTGATTTCCATATAATTATTAATTATCAATCTGATTGGTCTTGGAATATTTGATTTAATATTACCTTAGGTTCTTTGGACCATTCAGGGAACATACATTTCATATTAATTCAGACAGAATCAAGGATATAATTGTAAGAATAGCATACGTATGTATTTTGGGTGCTTTTTAATCAAATCAAATCAACTTTATTTATATAGCACTTTTCATACAAAAAAATGCTACTCAAAGTGCTTCAAAGATTAAAATGGCCCCATAGATCCCATATTCCCATCCCAGCCCCCCTCCCCAAGTATAAAACAATTGACAATTACGGTTCCCCTCCCGCAACCAATTTCCAAGGTGGACATACAATCACCCAGACACTCGCACACGTACACACACACACACACACACACACACACACACACACACACACACACACACACACACACACACACACACACACACACACAAACACACACACACACACACACACACACACACACACACACACACACACACACACACACACACACACACACACACACACACACACAAACACACACACACACACACACACACACACACACACACACACACACACACACACACACGTGAACAACAGAGTAAACAATAGGCTGAGTTCAGATGGGTCAGGTAATGGATGACACATCATCAGCGGAGCCATCTGCCCTGACAGCAACAGATCCACGGCAGCAGCCAAGACACCGGCCCATGACGCCCAGTGGCGTAGGGCAGAAACCCCCACCACTGCCCGGGCACTAAAAGAGGACCGCCCCGGCCGCCGCCGCCGACCACCAGCCCCAAGGCAGAGGGCTCCGCAGAGGAAACACTGGAGGATTAAAATATATAACTGTAAAATAACAAAAGCTAATATGGATAAAAAGTAAATGATAAAAAGTGATTATAAAGATAGTAAAAGAAAACATAATCATGTAAAAACACTAAGATGTAAATAAAATGATAAAATTAATTAAAAGAGATAAATAGGTATATATGTGAATAAACAAATATGACAGACGATACAGTTAAACAGACTAGATAAATAGTAATCAGTTAAAAGCTAAGCTGAAAAGGTGGGTCTTGAGCCTATTCTTAAAAGCCTGGACGTTCCCTTTGGCCCTGAGGTCCTCCGGCAGCCCGTTCCAAAGGCGAGGGCCGTAGTACTTGAAGGACGCCTCGCCGTGGGTGCGAGTATCTTAACTTTAGGAATAATTAGGAGACGGCTGCCAGAGGAGCGCAGAGACCGCGAGGGTTTATATAGTAAAAGCAGTTCTGAAATATAAGAAGGCCCAAGACCATTAAGACACTTAAAACCATTCAAAGAACCTTAAAATCGATCCTGAAACATACGGGGAGCCAGTGCAGTGATTTTATAACTGGAGTAATGTGCTCCCGCTTCCTGGTCTTCATCAGGACACGTGCTGCTGAGATTTGTAGAAGTTGTAAACCTGAGATGCTCTTTTTGGGAAGACCAGAAAGCAGGGCATTGCAGTAGTCTATTCTACTGGTTACAAAAGCATGCACTAGCGTCTCCGCATTGGTCCGAGAGAGAATGGGGCGGACTCTGGCGATATTCTTAAGATGGTAAAAACCTATTTTTGTGATGTTTTTAATGTGGGGGATAAAAGTCAGCTCAGAGTCAAAACTAACACCCAGATTCTTCACTTGTAGTGATGGATAAAAAGAGATTGATTGTAGTTTAAGTAAAAGTTTCTCTCTCTGGGCCTCAGGACCGATGACTAAAACTTCAGTTTTGCCTTGGTTGAGCTGGAGAAAGTTTTCAGTCATCCATGATTTAATATCTAAAATGCAGTTAAAAAGTGTTTCCATTGGCTGTGCGTCATCAGGAGACACGGAGATGTACAACTGTGTATCGTCAGCGTAACTGTGGAAATTCACCCCATGTCTCCTGATGACGCTGCCCAGAGGGAGCATATAGAGGTTAAAAAGCACTGGGCCTAGAATTGAACCCTGAGGCACACCGCATGTGATGCTGTGGACCCCAGAGGAACAGGTATCCAGACTCACCATAAAAATCCTGTCTGTGAGGTAGGAAGTGAACCAACTGTGAACAGCACCAGAGAGGCCGATCTGTTTTATTTGTTTAAATTGTTTATTTACAAAATAAGAAAACTGAAGATGCACGGAAGTGTCAGTGGCTGGTACTGATATGGGAGCTCTGCGTCTGGAGGAGGGAGAACACTGGTGAGCATGTGTTTAGTTCCTGAGGTCCATTTTAGTCCGAGCTTAGTTCAATAGAACTTACGGTAAGATGAGAGTTGCTGGCTGGAGGAGGGAGCAGGTCGAGAGCCGGGGGGAGTGCAGGAGAGGGAGCACAGGTGGAGACAAGCAGGGCGTCCTGGTGGATGGGAGACACTGAGCCGTAATGTCTGAGGAGAATTATGGAGAACAGTGAGTGGGTCCAGGAGGGTCTGAGTATCCAAACCCCGGAGTCCTGAGGTGAGTATTCTAGAGCTCAGTGACCAGAGGGAAACAATGGAATCCTGGAGGAGGTAAAGAATTCTGAGTCAGCTCCTGGAGGATAG